TATAATGCATTGCTGGGACTTGTAGTCCCACATAGTTGGTGCTATTCTGCATTGCTGTATAATCATCATGCAGCAATGCAGATTACCACCAGCTGTGCTGGACTACAAGTCCCAGCAAAACACGCACACACTCTCTCTCTCTTCCCAGCGCCCCCTCCCACTCCAAACTTACCTTCCCTCTCCTGCAGGCCCATGGCCCTCTTCCTCGTCTTGGCGACCAGGGGGCGGAGCTAAGAGACGGCCCTCTTAGCACCGCCCCTAAGAGGCGGGACCAGCTCATTCTCCGGGATCAGTGACAGCGTCTCCAGCCCTTTCGCACAGCCGCCCGTACATGCTGCGGGTGGCTGTGCGACAAAGAAGGAGCGGCACGATCGCGGGGGGGCCCTCTACTTCCTTGCTGGGCCCCCCCAAGTGGCGGAACGCCAGGGCCCGGTCGCAATTGCGACCGCTGTGACCCTGGTAGTTCCGCCAGTGGTAGGGATGTGCCGATACCGATACTAGTATCGGTATTGGTGCTGATACCAAGTATTTGGGCTAGTACTAGTACTCGCCCAAATGCTCTGCTACCTACCCCCGATATTGGAACTTCTGGTCAGAGGGAGATTTCCTCCACACATGGACATGGAACCGGCTTCCTGGCCAATCAGGAAGCCGGGGGCGGGTAGTGACTTGCCTCCCAGCTACCTGATTGGTGGTGGCTTCCCAGCCAATCCGCATCAAGCCGGGCCAAACAGCATGGAGGCGGCTTCCTGGGCAATCCAGTAGCCGGGTGGCATGTCATTACCTGCCACCCGCCTTCTTGATTGCCCTGGAAGCAAGCTCCATGCTAGCGGAAGTATTGGTACTCGGTATTGGATACTGAGAATACGGTATTGGTGCATCCCTAATTGAGGGACACAGGAAGTCTTCCACATTTGAGCTATACTGCTAACTAAAGGACATTGGCAAAAAAAAAAGTAGGCCAGCCCTGCTACCGGTGTGCTTAATTTTTTTTGCTAATGTCCTAGGAGAATCGACATTGTTTCTTTTATCGCTGCGGTATAAAATACCAACCTACAGTATTTTCATTGGAACCATTTTCACTTCAACATTTTTTCTCTATCAAGATGTCTCCATTACATGCTAGAGCTGGTCTATTCACTTGCAACTATCCGGCGTGGTAATCTGCAGCCTGAGTTTTGGAGTGCCACGTCTGGACCCCGCTGGGCTAGACATTGCAGAGATAGCCTGGAAATGACCAGGCTGTCCCCACTAGGGCACTGGGTTCTTTGTACGGAGCTTTCCAGACTCCAATTTGATAACAAGTGAGCTGCAGAGCCGCTCACATTATCTCAGTGCTTGTCTTGTCTCTGAAGACTCATTCCATGAGTACGGTGGTCGGGCCAAGCATTGGGAGCTACTTCATTTTGTCTGGTCGCTGAGCCTTCATATTCCCTGCTGGTTTCCACTGCAGAAGGGGTTAATGCTGTGGCACTGAACGCTGACGTCCTCTGCGTGGTGGAGTTGTGCGCTCTCTTTCCCTCCATACAGAGTCAAGGAAGTATCCCCCTACCCCGAGAAATGCCATGCAGCCTTTATTGAAGTGCATGTAGATCAGGAGTACTAAGATGTAACAAAGTGTAAAGATAAAAATAACATTTGAAGAAACACAAAAAACAATTGTTTATACTGCTCAGTGTTTAGGCAAACCAAATGCCATTCCGTTATGGCTTATGTCTACTTTAACCCATAACAAATATGCAGAACTCTATTCTGATATTCATAACCTGCATACTACTGGGTCAATGATGGAAAGTATTAAAGTTTGTGTATCAGTATATCAGCAGGAGGTCATCAATGGTATGGTTCAGGCATCCCTCAGGAAAGGTTTATGTCTTATGTTTATGATCTGTATAATTGAAATTCATAGTTACATAGTATTTGAGGTTGAATAAAGACATTAGTCCATCAAGTCCAACCTATTAGGATCTCATTCTAGGAGTACCTGTACCCCTGTATATTACGGTCCCTTAAGAAATCGTCCATAGTTACATAAAATTCTAATTTAAAAAAATAATATATATAGATTAGATACATCTGGACATGTTGAAGAGACATCAGTGAAGATGGTTTCCCTAGTCTATGACCAGTGCAGGATGTTTTAGACTGTTGCTCCCTCTAGTGGTCAGAACACATACTGTAGCATTCATAGTACACACAATAACAAAGTGTTGGTTCCTAATTGTGATTTTGCTTTAAAGGGAAAAAAAAATGTACAAAATAACTTTTCCTATATGTCATTATGTATGCTTCATGCAAACTATTTAAAAAAAAAAAGGCATTCAATTGTCATGTTACGATTATTGTGTACTGTTCATACAGTTTTTAGCAATCACGTAAGAAAGGCATAGCACCAACCAATACTCTTTTAGGTTTAGGACAGAGCTGAGATGAGCTAGAACCTCTGTCTCTTTTTATCTGTGTTGTGTCCCTATTAGGGAGATTACACTTCACTTCTTATCCCAGTGTCAACATTGTAAATAGAATACAAAGTGAAGGGAAACCTTATCAATCGGACCACAGATGCTAATTAAAAGAGCGGGGTAGGCAACCTCAGCACTACAGCTATTATAGAACTACAAGTCCCATGAGGCATTGCAACACTCTGGACAGCCGCAGGCATGACTCACAAAGTAGTTTGACCACAACTGGGGTGCTAATAGAGGTTTTAATCTTTTCCCACACTATTCAAGGCTGAAAACATAATTGTATGTTATATAGGCGGGGTATTGAATTAAAATTCAAGGAAGTCCAGTGAGTAAAATTTTCTTTGAGCAGCGGTCCAAATCGCAGTCCGGAGAGAATGGTCATCCATGTTGGCTCCATTCACACCAGCAGCTGCACAACACAGGCACATTGCACTGTTTACTTTTTTATGTTAGAACTTTATTGAAATGTCACAAGTGATGTTTCATTAGTGCACAGTGTATTGCGATGTAATTGTACCATGTTGTGGCCTGCTGCATGCAGTACTGAGCCCATTCATACCAACAATTGCCTTGCCTAAGATTGGGATTGTGCTGGAAAAAGTAGCAATGCATCTGGTGTGCATGCAGCCTTAGTGACCCCTGTTGTAGAGCTTGTTCTGTCTCACTCTGCTACTCAGTTAATTATTTTGACAGTTAAAGTATTCGAACAGAGGTCCGAATCTCATGTCCTCTCAGTGCCCCCTTACTTACTTGCCCAATCATAGTGCACCCTACATTAGATGTCCCCATCAGGGTCCCCCTTATGTTAGGTGCTTCCATCAGAGTGGCCCTTACATTGGTTGTCCCAATCATAGTGCACCCCATATTAGGTGTCCCCATCAGAGTTCCCCTTACAGCAATTGTCCATCAGATTTCACATTATCTGTATAAAAAAAAAATCAAGGCAACTGGACTTACTGTATTTTTCAGAATGAATTGAGAAAGCTAGTCAGATAACCATCGAAACGTCTTCAAGAAAAATACGGCAAGTCCAGTTGCCTTGATTTGTTTTTTTTTTTACACAAACCATGACCTGGATGAATGAGAACCTTCACAGACATACACTTTAC